ATTCGGGATGTTAGACGATTGGCTTTCCAAATAGCTGTTCGGAATGATATTCCACATCGCTTCAACATCAACAAAGAAATGGCGGGAAAAGGATGGTATTATTCTTTTATGAACCGACATCCTGAACTGTCACTAAGGCAACCAGAGAAAATCTCCATGGCTAGAGCAACTGGATTCAACCAAAAAAACGTCCATGAGTTTTTTGATATCTTAGAAAGATGTGTTGATGAAAACTGTTTTACGGCTCAAACAACTTATAATGTTGATGAAAGTGGATTTTCAACTGTTCAAAAACGGAATCAAAAAATAATTGCACGTAGAGGAAAGCACCAAGTTGGAGATATAGCAAGTGGTGAGAGGGGCGTAAATACCACAGTTGTCGTTTGTGCCAGTGCTGCCGGTCAAACTGTACCACCCATGATCATTTTCAAGAGAAAACGTATGGCTCCAGAGCTAACCATAGGTGCAATATCTGGCACTATTGTTACAATTTCAGATACTGGATATATAAATAGCGAACTTTTTGTTAAATGGTTAAAGCACTTCATTGAGTACGTAAAACCAAGTACCGAAAAAAAAGTTTTGCTTTTGCTGGATGGCCACACAATGCACTCAAAAAATCTGGAAGCATTCATTTTAGCAAAAATGCATGGAATTGTACTACTGCAACTTCCTGGTCATACTACAAATCGGTTACAGCCATTAGACGTAAGCTTTTTTAAACCTATGGAATCCTATTTTTCTCAAGGTATTGAAACATTTTTGAGAAGCAATCCTGGTAACACTGTTACTCAATATAACATGACTGGATTGCTCTCTGATGCCTATGCAAAAACTGCATCAATAAGCAACGTCATGGGTGGTTTTAAAAGAACTGGAATATGGCCGGTTGACCGTACTGTATTTTCTGACGCAGATTTTATCGCTGCTAGCGCCTTGCTTGAAAATGATTCAGAAACAGCAAGGGAGGATTTAGGGGCAATAAATCCACGTGAAACGACTATTGAGCCTGAAGACGAAGCTACTGAGCGACCAGTTAAAAGTAATAGTACTGAACTAAACAACAATTGCAACTCAACAGATCTGAATACCTCCATTGAAGAAATTTATCCTTTACCTGAGAATAAAGGTAATGCTAAGAAAAGAAAATTGTCTCAACCAGCCGTCATTTTAAGCAGTACGCCCTATAAAGATGAATTGGAGAGCAAGCGTAATCAAAGGCAGAACTCAATTAAAAAAGTAAAGAAAAATCTCGGGCTTTCTTCTACTTCCCTTTTCGAAGCACGTGACGACCAATCTTCCACTTCAAAATCTGATGTAGTAAATGCTCAAATTGAATATGATACTACTGAATGGTACTGCCATATATGTGAAGAGAACATTATTCAGGATATGGTGAAATGTATGAAATGTGAGAAATGGGCCCACACATCATGTGCAGGGACTAAAAAGCAAATAAAAAAATATGTGTGTGAGAACTGTAAATAAAAAGTTAGTGGTACGATTTAAAAACCGACGGTACGATTAAACCAACCTGTTCGCTTAATCGTACCGTTTGCAAGCATTTTTATTTTTGTATTTTTTTGCTTAAGATGTTGTTTGATTTAGTTAAACTCTTGATTAAGGAGAAAATAAATGTTTATATTTGCTTGTGTGCTAATATGAATGCTAAAGAGTTTAATTTCTGAGTACAGTGGTCAATTATTTAAAAATCGGTACGATTTACCCTACTCTACCCTAATCCCCGAAGCGGCCTCCTTCTTTTGGAGAAAGACGTTTGACAACTCTAGTCTCACTTGCTTGTCAAATTAAATAAGGCGTCCTTACAGTAAGTAGGACTTAAGTGGTAAAACGCTATGCATTCGGCAGCAACGCTTCCCAAAAGTAAATAGCTGCAGTTGCTTGACTAATTTCATCAAAGAAAAATGCACGCTCCGCAGCAAGTCATTTGCAGTGGTGGATATATTTAAGCATTCCGAAAATTGCCTGGCGAAAAACGAAATAGAAAGAGGTCAGTGCACCGTGAATAGTCTCCGATCGTTCTGACTGGTGTGTTGCTAAGTTACTGATAAGCTAGCACGCATCTACCAGGTATCATCAAAATTGTTCACGTTCCCTCTAATAGGAAAGTTCGTCATTTTTTATTTTTACTCAAATCGAGAGATTTTGCTATTAAAAAACGATAAAAAATGAGCAAAAAATATAGATATTTACGTCGACTAAAAGTATTTCAAAATCAAGGATCGGCGCGAGGATAGAAAACGTACCTGTGCGCGAGAATAGATCGCGTGACGTCAGTAGCCAGACACAGCTCGCTAGCTGGCCCGCTGCATTTACCATTCTCACAACGATGCCCCAGTAATCGGTTTGGAGTAGTTTGAGCTGGTACGATAGATTCTTGTTAAATTCTGTGAACTTTGACGGTGTCGAACAGAAAGTGGTGTTTTGTGCCAAAATGTACAAGTACGTCAAGTACAACACCACAAAAAAATTTTGTGAGTGTTCCAAAAGCTGCCACACAACATAACAAGTGGTTTGACGCAGCTCGACGGGATGTAATATCAGTTTCTTCTACGTCGACCATGTACTGCTGATCATTTTGACCTGGAAAAAGATATGAAAAACTATCTACAATACAAGATGAGTACCGTTCGAGCCTTGATGAATCCTAATATTGCACCTCATAAATTTGCATGTCAACTGGGTAGACAATTAAGCTCTACGAAACCAGTGTTCAGCGAAAAAATGGCAAGGTAGAAAGACATCGCCAAATATTTGCAGCCAGCAGCGGCACGCACCGAAAAGTCCGAGCCTGAAGGCGTGGAAGTTATTGAGGAGGAGCATGATGAACTACCTGAACCTTTAACTGTAGAAGTTCAGTCACAGGCATGCCAAACCAAACAGGTGCATTTTAGAAGCAAGTCAGTTCAAATCTCGCAAAAGCGGAAAGTAATGGATGTAGCTGCGCTTGCTAAACAGATTTCAGAGCGGCCAAAAAAAACGTTTGCAAATGTAAAGTGAACGGGCAAATCTTGAAAGTCCCGCAATAACAGAAACATCCGAATCTGATTTGTAGAAGCCAGTGGAAGCAGTACTGAAAGTAGTGACAGCGAAGCTGACCAGCTTACTGCCGAGATCGTAGTTCATTCTAAGCGCAATATTAGGCAACCTGGCTTCATTGCCCATCCCCCGAATGCAGCCCTAAACTTTGTTATTTTAGTAGCTATAAAATTCTATAATGTGACTTCCCCCCCCCCGTTATTTTAGATATTCCCCAATAGACCCTAAAAAAATAAGATTCTCTCTACATCCATGGAATTTCTCTCATTGAAAACATTAGGGTACCATACTTTACTTCAGAATAGTGTAATAAAGCCTCATTATGCATGCAAAAATTACCAATTTCGGGGCTCTTAATAGGCGTAACAAGTTAAAAAGGTATGTATGATAATTTAAATTCCATAATATTATACCTAGGAAGAAAAAAGCAGAGATAAATAGCCTTCAAAATTATTGTCACGAGCAGGCATTATTATGTCTTAATATTATTAGCTTTCAATAGACTATAGCAAAGCAGGATCAATTTTTACTGAGAAATACAAAAATACTACCCATTGGAGCTAAACGAAAAAATTAGCTTTATATAGGTACTTGCCGAACTACTTTAACACCGCTGCTCTGAGGTTCATTTAAATTTGCATTATTTGCCAAAAACTCGTACGCCATTTCCACATTCACATGGGGTAAATTTCGCGAATCAGCTTTCTGATAACCTTGGAGCATTGTGCTAGCACAAATAAATAAAGAACACAAACGTCGGTCCCAGTTTATATAAATCGTATTCGTATACTCTTCACTCCGTATACAAGACAATACAAGATACAAGTACCCTATGAGGGCGACAGCACGTGTCGAGATTTTCCCCCGAATACCTCATACTTTTTTTTTATTAATTTAAACGACTCTCTAACAATCTTCTACAAAGATTGACAAAAACGACTTGATTATAGAGCATAACAAATGAAATACTAAAGTCATTAACAATAAAATTATGTTCTTTTGTTCATTTGGTAAATCTACAAAAATGGAACTGTCAAAAGTCTCACTTCGAGATTAATAGCCGTGCCGCTAGATGACTGATTCTGAATCATCATTTTGGTTTTTAATATACTCGGAGACTTGTTCTTGGGTGTTATTACTATGGGAACTGAATTGATTGTTATTTTTACGATATAATTCCCTATTATCACAATTCATAGAATTTTATTATAAACCCAAAGAGCTTCATAACGATTGAAGATAGGTAGAAAGATTATTTTTGGATCACCCGTTATTGTATGGCTAAGATACAAAGGGGTGCGACCTTTTCGTAGGGCCACCCTGCATACTCGTAACATAAGTTAGGTAGGGGAGAGTGGTACACAATGACACAATTTCTGAAAAATCCACGAACAAACCTTGATGATTTGTTTTTTAAAAAAATCATTCCGTGTGTCTTTTAACTTACTCAATTGCGAATAAGGTCCAATATGTAATAATAAGAAAATGAAAGAAACTAAAAGAAAAAATTTCTTTGGGCTGCATTTGTATCAATGTGTACCACCAGTGGTACAGTTTGAAACATATGGTAGTACACAATAAAACACGTTGGAGATTATTACAAATCTGTCAGAATCAAACAATATTTATTTTTTGTAGGTCAACGTACAATTAACTTGTTAATTTCTAACCCAAATCTATAATAAGAAGAAAGTCTTTTGTCGCTGGTTTTCATGGGTTCTGATAATAACATGACATCAACCCCATATGAGTATCAGGAACACATCTAAAATTTTGGCAACATAATGGATATTATTTTCAAATTTCACGAACACGAAAGAATCTTTCAAAATATAAGTGTTTTCAGTAATTTCATAAGATTCCAAGTTATTTTTCTGTTCCTGTATCATACTATATTTAAGGTCTTCTAATGATAATTGCTCGTCGGAAGAGTCCTTCAACTACAACAAATTATTATCTTCTGATTCTGAATCTGTTTCATTTAAGATCTTTTCTTTCATTTTTCTTTTCTTTGTTTTATCATTTCTGTTCAAATTCCCTGATATATTTCTGTTCACCTTCTCAACTGCAGTTGTGTTTGGGGTTTTTGTTTCTAATGTTTTATAAGAAAGATTTTTCATTTCTGGTGTGCTAGTTAAAATAATGCTCTTCTTTGTTTTCCGTTTCCTATTTAAATTCTTTCTAGGTGCAGCTTTTGGAAATCCTCGCAGCTCAAATGGAGTAACAAAATGACCTTTCAATACAGATAAGTTATTCTTATCCATAGTTAATTCATTTATTTCTGTTTCTTTGTTACCATATAAACCAACAGATTCCATTTCTAAAATTGAGTTTTCCTCTTCCTCATCTAATTTGCGATCCAAAGTTTGCATTGTACCAGATGAACCAGCGCTGGACGTAAAGGCAACATTTGAACGTGAGGGTTGTCTTGACTATCAGGTGAAGCTTCATTTCCACGGGTGCCATCTCGTATTTCAACTGCTGCTTTTTTGTGCCCAGATTCTCCGAGTCAATTTATTCCCTGTCGGTAACAGACGACGATAGAAAATCACCATCCGTAAAAATGTTTTTATTAAAAGGATAGATGCCTGTACCTCTAAACCCATTCATTATATTTTCTGGAGGCATAGATTTGGAGTCGGCAATACCGACACATTTCGATAGTTCTGAGCGACTACAGGCAGACTATACTGGGGTCCAACACTTTGGATCCCCAGAATCTTAAGGAGGTGGGACTCAGGGCTATACTCAACTTTGCTGGAAGGGCGGAGCTTGAGACTTGGGGAATGTAGCGGTGGATAAGGGCCCGTTTATGCGGCTTTTGTGCCGACTTCTCATTCATTCAAGACTACTGGTGTGCTTAAACAATGCGAGGTGTTATCTTTCTTATGTTTGCTATAAGACATCATTTTTTTCAGAAATGTTTCTGGGTTTGACATGTCAGATGGCTAGTATATACGTATAATTAGGACAAGATTCTACTATATTCCTCTTCATAGTAGCTCATAGAGCTACCAGAGCAATTGATTTGAGTTTTGAAGTTCAGCTAGTTTGATGCTACCTTGTATACTAGGCAATACAAACCGGCATTGCATGCAATGATGCAACTACTAAATTATTCAGATAGATTACCACAAATTGCTAGAAGCTCGATGGTCACGCAAATTACATGATAGTCTATTCAGTAGCACTGTATTTCTGAAGACGTAAGTGCTCTTTCCATTGCTTAACGTTTATGGTTTGATTTTAGGAATTGCTCAGGAGCATTGTAGGTTATATTGTAATATTTTACAAGCTATTATTTATTACAAGACTTTTATTTAACTTGTCCTATTGGTATGTGTGGGACAAATGTTGACAGTGAATTTTGAATCAGTTAACCTCAACCAATTGAGCTATCTTACCCATAGTAACCCCTATGATATGAGTATCAAACTTGATGCGAGGTATACAATAAACAGTGACGTCATTCTAAATCCAATATGACGGCTGCCGCAAAATGGCGATTGACATTTTTCATAGTCACTCCTATGATGTGGTACATAAGAAGCAAAGTGATGTCATTGTAAATCCAATCTGGCGACCGCCGTTAAATTATAAAATTATAATTTCCATGGTCAATCTATGTTCCATATGGCAATCTCCGCAAAATATAGATTTATCATTACATGATTTGCATCTATCAAAATTTTGTATTACTAATTAAGTAAGAAGCTCCTTAGTCTCAAGTTTCCAAATAAAAGCGTGTTAGATTTTAACAGCAATAGGGATAAACGGTACCTTAAGAAACATTCCTTTCCTCTCAAGACATGAATTAATCATGCTTTCATTTCCTATCTTTTCAAATTATCATCATCATCTCTCTGCAGGTATCGGTTCACCATTTGCCCTTTCCAATGTACTGTTAGGCATTATTGGATTTCGATTAAACAACTTATACATCGGATCACGTATTATTACCGGATAACGTGAGTTCCAGTTGTATACAATTCGAACTTTAAAAAAAATAACGAGCTTAATACAATTTGATTAGACAGGTCGTAGAGGTCGGAACGTAATGATGAGGTTGGGTAGACAAGGAATGAAAACCTAACGAGATTGCATTATTTGATCTTGAATAGACTTGGAAAGGTATATCTAATCCGCGGGTGATTATATGTTAGCATGGACCAAGCGTCTACTTTTCATCGTATCGGTATGAATTGATTTGAAATTCAATGACAGATACTATCATCTACTGGGGGTTACAAAAGTAGTAGTAGTAGTAGATATTTATTTACTCCATTATAAAACCACAATAATAACAATATAGAATGGGTAAATAAATATGTTTTAATCCACCGAAAGACAATGCCTATACATGGATCAGTTTTATGCTGAAATGTGTGACATTCCAAAAACCAAACAAATAAGTCAAAAGAAAATTGCAGAAAAAAATATATCAAAGAGAGAGACGATAACTTTTAATTGATATTCGATAGGAGTTAAATAATATGCTGTCTAAAAATTGGAAAATAATTTTTATATATATATAACTTGAGACGTGGTCATTGTCGTCTAGACCAGTTAGGTGAAAAATTAAAGCTTCGCTTTTTGTTGGGTACTTCGACAAAATTTAAGCAAAGAGGACTCTTTATACTTTTTTTAATTCTCTCTAGCTTTCAATGGACTTTGCCATCATCATCAGGAGCTGCAATTACAATGATAACAGTAGCAACAAAAGTGTAAAATGAATTTAAATTGAATCAACTTACAGTAGTATGTGATTATGTTGCTAATTGTTGTTTTCGTATATATATATATTCCTGGAAATGTTCCACATTTTTATGAATAACAACTGTATCAACAAAAAGACAGATATTAAACAACTGAGTGTCATTTACTCATATTTGCTGAACTGCGAAAAATTGGAGAAATTACATATCTCCCCAAATTTCGACTTTTCACAACCATAAATATAATCTGTGTTTTGCCCGATTCCACCAACAAATTTCATTCCACTCCAAATCTAATGATTCTCTTCTCACGATTTATTAATAATTATTCATTTAAAATTCCCATCAATTAAAATATAGTTTATTCAACTGCCTCTGGTCGGTTTAACAATTTCTTACATAACATTCTGAAAATCACATCATCTGAAGTGATTTGCCAACGTTTCGGCACACGCCCACAATTCGTTCCATCTTTTAACACAGACATTGACAACCTTCGGCCTTCTGTCAAAGGTTCATCTCACTCATTATTCCGTGACCACCATTTTGTGCAATCATCAAGTGTCTTCACGACGTAATGCTCTAATGTTTTCTAAATAATTTTTAATCTGTCTTTAACTTGTCTTGTCATATTTTATATAATTTTAACCATTGTACCATGTATCCAGCTCTCACCATGTTACTGGACGTCTCCCTCATCTTATACGAAAACAACAATTAGCAACATCCTCACATAATACTGTAAGTTGATTCAATTTAAATTCATTTTACACTTTTGTTGCTACTGTTATCATTGTAATTGCAGCTCCTGATGATGATGGCAAAGTCCATTGAAAGCTAGAGAGAATTAAAAAAAGTATAAAGAGTCCTCTTTGCTTAAATTTTGTCGAAGTACCCAACAAAAAGCGGATGCTTTAATTTTTCACCTATATACATATATATATATATATATATATATATATATATATATATAATCAATCATAATTAATGTTATTAACAGAATAACTCAATTCAGGGTAAAAAGCGTGGGGCACATTTTACTACATTTTCATAACTCTCCTCTCATAGATAGTTGCCAATAGAATGATTGTAAAATTTTATATATCAAGCACCCCACGCTTTTTACCCTGGATTGAATTAGTCTGTTAATAACTTAAATTTTATTATAATTTTATTTCCAGTTCATCAATTATGGTTGATTGTTCGACCATCTACTACTGTAATATAACCTTTATGAAATTAAAAATTATTTTCTAATTTGTAGTTGGGTTAGCTATAAAAGCGTGTTTTTTAGTCTTTTTAAAAATTTAATTTCTTCTCAAAATTATGTGTATTTCGAAATTGCTTCAAGTCTCTGGGTACGTGTCGATAAAATATCATGATGACATCAAATAATTTTGTTGTATCTCATAAATTATTTGTTGAATATTATTTTGGTATTCCGAACATAGTTTTGAAAATAGTTCTCTGTAAAACTTCTATATCGTGTTATTACGCTGAATATGCTGTATATGTAGCTGAACATAAACCAGACTGATTAAGTATAAAAAGACATTGCTTAAATGAAATAAAGACAATAATCAATGAATTGAAATTAAGAAAATCTCCAGGTCTAGATAATATAACAGCGTATACTCTCAAGAGAATAAATTGCAACATCTGCGGCATACTATCATATTTGATAAATTCTTGTATGAATAAAGGAATATTCCCTTCATGTTTAAAACACGCTATGGTAAAACCATTATTTAAATCTGGAGAAAGAGAAAAACCCATCAACTATCGACCAATTTCCATCTTAACAAATTTTTCTAAAATATTTGAAAAACTGTTAAAAAAACGATTCACCGAATTTGCAAAAAAATATAACTTAATAGCGGAAGAGCAATATGGTTTTCAAGAAGGCAAATCTGCTCAAGATGCTACTGTAAAATTAACAAATAAAATATACACGAATCTCGATATTGGCAAACCAACTGCTTGTGTTTTTGTTGACTTGGCAAAGGCATTCGATTCTATTACTCATGAATCGCTTTTAACAACTTTAGAAAACTTAGGTTTCCGGGGAATAACATACAAACTTATAGAAAATTATTTGTCAAATCGAACACAGTGCGTCAAAATTAATAACACATTCAGTGAACCCCATATTATATCACACGGTGTACCTCAAGGCTCAGTATTAGGACCCATTTTATTTAATCTATTTATCAACGATTTGTTCAAAATAAATAGTACAGGTAAAGTTATCGGTTTTGCGGATGATACAGCTATTCTCTGTGAAAGCAACCAGTGGCATACACTAAAAACCACAATCGAACATGATTTCAAAACATTTATAAATTTCTTTTCGGAAAGAACTTTGACAATTAATTACAACAAAACACACTATATAGCATTTTCTTGTAACGACAGGCTCTCACCACAATTTAAAAAACTTGAAATTCATACAAGCAGTGGCCTCAAAGAGATTCAGTCAGCCGATAAATTAAAATACTTAGGCGTGATTTTGGACAAACACTTAAAATGGGATACCCATACAGAGTAAGTACCCTGTGAAGAGACTGAGATGTATTATTCCAAAATTCAGGTACTTCAGAGATATTCTAGATAAGAAATATCTATATAATCTATATTATGCTCTTGTTTATCCTCTA